AAAGGATGAAAAAAAAGTGCGACTTAATTATATAGCTAATATAATTATAAGCTAATTATGTAGTAATATAAACCTAAGTTTCTGGTCAACTCTTTGATTTGATTCATTGAGGCTTTGAATTTTAAAGCGGACTAACTTCTTAAATCTAACTTGGTCTAAATTGCAGACCCCTATCTTAGAGACACCCGTGACACTGCAGGTCCCAGGGCTTCAGAGGCTGCAGAACTGCTGCATGCCCACAGAAGTGCTCTGCCTTCTTAACATGGTGATGCCCGAGGAGCTAGTGGACGACCAGGACTACGAGGAGATCCTGGAGGACATCCGTGAAGAGTGCTGCAAGTATGGCAGTGTCTGCTCCATGGAGATCCCCCGGCCGGTTGAGGGTGTGGAAGTCCCTGGTTGCGGAAAGGTAACTGAGCACTTTTGTTTAATACCTTTTACTTCAGATATATTAAGATATGAATACTCGATACTAAACGTTGATACGACTGATATTTGTTTGATTGATTTGATAGATCTTTGTGGAGTACGTCTCTGCTGCGGAGTGTCAAAAAGCTATGCAGGCGCTGACTGGCCGCAAGTTTGCCAACAGAGTGGTGGTCACCAAATACTACGACCCGGACATGTATCACAGACACGAGTTTTGAAGCACAGAGCAGTCTGTTGTGAATTGTCTTTTTTTGTTGTTGTCTTGCTCTCCTACTTGTACTGCTGTAGACGTGGTTGATTCGGTCGGTTCATAACCTCTTGTGAATGTTGTAAACATGTATTTAGAAACCGGATTTGGATTTCTTCTTTTACACTTTTACAAACTCGAACCACAGTGTGTATTCTTTCGGTATCTAACAGTCTGCCTCGAGGATTCAAGGGTTTGAATCCTTGAACTATTCTATTTACTCAGATATTACAAAGGAAAATGTTCCAGTACTTTTATTTTTGCAGTATGATATACGTACGTGGTGTGTTTTCAGTCTGAATAAAGCCATTATACCAGTACAACAGTTTTCATTAAACCACCTCTTCCTGCTCACAGTGTGTGCCTTTGTGTCTAGTTTAAACTAGTTTCAAAACGTTATAACCGGTTTACTCACCAAAAAAAAATTAACAAAAATACCTGGACCTTTTATGTATTCCATTGGTCAAAAAAAATGTCTATGATCTGCAAAATGTATTTAAAACATGTACAAAACTATTTTGTTTTGCTAAACTTTTTCCGAAAATGTTAAATTCTGTATAGACTGTTTAACCAAACGATATATAAAAGTATCTTTGTGCAAGTAGTTTCTTTACTTAGGTTCTTACTTCTGCTGCGGAATTCCATGCCAGTTTGATTCCAACTAGCAACGTTGCCAATGCTATAATCTGTGAAATGCTAACAGACCATAACTTCTTGTTTTTGTTGAAGTGACATGTTTCGTCCGTTAGACGTAAACGGTAAGTTTATGAAAAATAATCTGTAAAAGACCATAACATACTATCTAAATCTGGCTGCTTACTCTGGAGGCTAAAGCTAAATACAGACTACATTAGAAGCAGCACTGATGGCTAGCTGTGTAGCATCTGTCCAAAATATGTACAAATTGTTGATCCAGGATGCCATTAGCATTAACACTAGCAACCAGGCACAGCAGGTATTCCAAAATGAGAAACAACAAAAA